AGATTATTTATTGTTTCTTTCCTAAATGCAGTCCACTGCCACCTGTTCTGAATTGAATATAAAGCTGTTAAACAAGACCAGAACTTTGATGCTGATTATGAAAACAAGTTTCACTGTATCTGACCTTAGAAGCATTTACTACTTGGTCCTGAAGCAAAAGAATTTGATTTTTTTTTAAAGCAAAGCTATCTTTTTACCTTGATAAGCTGTTTAAAAAATGTAAATAAAATAACTCAGTGGACAAAAGAGGGTATTCATCCCACAGAAAGACAGCCGCCACCCTTAGACATGAAATATCGCAGCACATTAAGTCATGAGACCCTGCTAATCAAAGCTGACAGGGTCCTGAATGTGATTTCTGCTGAGACTTAGCGATATCATGGGGCACTGAAGCATGCACAGCCTGCCAGGCTGCCCCTGTTCATGTGACAATGGCTTTTATTCGAAAAAGGGGCCTGTAAGGGACAAGAGTCCCCTTTGTCTTTAGATTCCTGCATTTGGAGTGCAAGAGAGGTTCATTCAACCAGCCCCAGACACTCTTTGAAAGGCTGAAGTGTAACATAAGATGACCATGAAACACTAGCTTGCCTTCTGCCTACCCTTCATTCTTCTAAAGCACAGCCTGGCCTATTCAGAGTCTCTTCAGAGAATAGCATCGTACTATATTAGCCGCTAGTCTGCTGAATTCCATCATTGTTCAGAAAAGACCAGCAGCCATCTTGGTTTCCATAAAGCCATTCACCAATGCTGAAACAGAGAGCTCAAGAAAAGGTTTCTGAAAGGCTACAATGCCATCACCGGCTTCAAGTCCTGCAAAACACGTGGTGTACACTTGGTCCAGACCTAGTCTGAGGATGATAGTGGAGTTCAAGATAGTAACTCTGACAGTCATATTTAAATTAAAATACAAGTCACCTTTGGAGAACTTCATTCATTGAAGGACGAAAACATACAATTCAGGGCTACATTTGTAAAGGCATCAAAGTAAACCCTTTAGATTTCTGCATGGCTCACTTCTCTTAAGAATCGAGCATGTCAGCACAGACACTGTACGAAGCTCCATCTAAGAGACCAGTAAGACAGGCACGATTCCTGCCTCTCCCAAGAGTTTAAGGGGTCTGAGAATGGGGTAACTAACCAGTGGGATACTGCTAAACACCCTAAATAGCTCGTGTTAAGTTTCTGCCTCTATCTTTAAGCATCATCCTTATTTATAGTCAGAAAAATGCAGCTTCAGCTCACCTCCTGTGGAGCAACTGTGCCATCAAGTGGCTGGGAACATGGGGCTCAGACAGGAGCTCCTTTCCTCGTCCCTGGGAACAGTTATTGCTACTCAACTCTGTCACAAGCTTTAGCCAAATCTGTATTAACTGTCTTCAGAGCTGGCACATCTTTAAATAATTTAAAAGGAAGGCACACAGAACAGCAAAATGCTGCAGTGAGCAAGCTGAGTTGCAGGGCAAAAGAGGGTTGGCTTCGAATTTTTATTTGAATGCTAGATATCTTTTTTCAGACTGTGCTGTCTTTTAAATCTACAAGTGAAGAAAAAAGGATCTTGGAGGGATACAGAAGACACAAATTCCTCTTGGTTTTTATGTCACCCTAGCCCTAAAAGGAGGCAACAGTTACAGAAATAAAAACCAGAATTAAGTGATAAATAAGAACCATGAAACACTCCCTCTTTTTGCAGATGAGTGGAAAACTGGTAATAGCAAAGTCACAAAAAACACTGGAGAGAGTTAAAAACTATCAATGGGCTTCTCAAACTTTGAAAAAAATTCTAAGTTTACCAATTTAAGAAGGAACTTATGTGGAAATTACAGGATACTTTCTGATTCTGTGCTCATTAAAATAATAAGTGAAGTTTAATGCTGTTGGAAGATCTGACAGGAGTATTTCTTGACAACATTTGAGTTATTTTCTCTCCCATGAGGATTTCTGACATAACCATCATTTTCCTCAAACATTTACCTAGTATGTGAAGAACCTTGAAGAGTGCTGGGGCTACCCAGAGGTACAGATACTACCCTGGTTTTCAAGGAGTCTGCCGTCTGGTTGGAGAAGCAGTACACATACATAAAAAGATTAACACCACTCTGCTCTGATCAGAATACATTTGGAAAACTGTGTTTAGTTCTGGTGACCACATTTTAAATTGGACATTAACAAACCTAAGCACATCAAAGGAGGGTGACCTAGATGGTGTGGGGCCCTGAAATTATGACGAGAAGATCAAGTAAGGAAGTTAGGGATGTTAAGTATAGAGCAGAAAAAACTTAGGGAGAACATAAGAGTTATAAGTCATACACCTCAAGGGTCATCACATGAAAGACTTAGTCTGTGCTGCTCTGGAGAACAAAACTAGGATCAATGGAAATAATTTACAGGAAGGGAGATTTTTGCCTCTATAGAAGAAAGCAATCCAGCAATTGGAGCTGTCTAACAATGGCACAGGCAGCGTGGTGAGATAGTGAATCCCCTGTCATTGGCAATATTCGTGAACAAACTGAATGACTCCACCACGAATTCTGTACTGCAGATTGTTGTATTAGGGAGGAAGAGATGGCCTAAAAGTTTCCATCTCACTGTGAAATTTTATGATTTTATATGGCATATTGTCCCATGCATATATTTTACATTATATAAAGTGCTTTCACATAAATTATCTCATTTGACCCCCAGGTGAAGTAGGTGATGTATGTATTTTTATCCTCATTTTATTAGAGAAGAAGAAACTAGGGCTCAGGTAGCTTGTTTTTGTTTTTGTTTTTTTTGCAAGGCAACTGGGGGTTAAGCGACTTGCCCAGGGTCACACAGCTAGTAAGTGTCAAGTGTTTGGTCTGAGGCCGGATTTGAACTCAGGTCCTCCTGACTCCAGGCCCGGTGCTCTATCCACTGCGCCAGCTAGCTGCCCCCTTCAGGTAGTTTTAAGTGGCAGAATTGGGACTAGAATCCTAAACCTACTATTCTCTCTATGAGAACATGCTTCCTCCAACCCAGGAGTGAGTGTCCATATGTAAGAGATTTTTTTAGCATAGTAATGATCCCCAGAAAGGCAACTGTGACAGAGGAATTTGAAGCAGTGTGGCTCCAGCTTTGGAGCCAGAGACGTCTGGCCTCCAGTCCCATCTCCTACGCACACGTGCTCTGTGACTCTAGAAAGTCACTTGAGCTTTCGCTGCTCTGGACAACCAGATGTAAGGAATGTGCAATAGACCTGTATTGATAGAGGGGGTTTCCTCATTGTCAAGGAATTCTCTCTACCAATAAAATCACAGAAACAGTCTCAGTTCCAGCCCAACGATCCACAGTAAGCCCTGTAGATGCTATAACACATAAGCGATTGAACAATGTGTACCCATGAATAGTTCACAGGCACAGCAACTGCTCCAATGAGAAAAAACTGGCCATCAATAACCCCCTTTCAGCCATCTTATACCCTGTACCTTAGAGAAGCTTCAGTGGCTTCCACCATCACACCTCATGAACAGATCTAAGCGATAGGGAAAGTTGAGGGGCCCACTCAGAGCTGCTGTTAAAGTAAGAAGCTCTGATTTCTCCAGCCCTTGATAGTTCTTCTTGGAACAGCAGAAACTTCTAAAGAGTGCTCTAACTGCCCAGGACCACCTGCACAGGGACGAGCCAGAGCCAAGACAGTCTTGGCTTACCTCCATCCTTACAGCATAGTGGCCCCAAAGGTATCTGTACTGTGCTAGATAGTGCCCCAACGGTCACTCCACCAATTCTGGGTCTATGGAGCTATGAAGATGTTGAAGATCTATGATTTCATTTGTGTAGGACTCTGTGGAGACTGGTGGTGGGGTTTTGATTTTTTGTTTTGGTTTTTTTTTTTCAAAGTGGAAAATTAAAATAAAGGAAGATATCCAGAGTACACAGAAGACAGCCGAAGGGACCCATAGCGCCCAGTGGCTGGAAAGGATCATTGTCGACCTGGCATAATGAACCAAAAACTTAATTTCAGCCTTGTCCCTATCCACTAATGAAGGTAAATATTGACTGATATCTTAGCAGATGGTTTCATGAGTTGTTGTGGCTAAAAATACTTATCATGTGGAGGTTAAACTCTTTAGTGATGAGACTCCCCAAGCTTAGATAGACTGATTCATGGTTGACAGAGTCCATTACCAGGGCTGTACTGGAAGCCTTTCCAGAGTGGCAGGATCTTCCAAAGCCTGTGCCCCATTGGCACAGCCCTCTAGAATCCAGGGTCACCTCTCTACTTTGAGTGAGGTTAAAGGATTCATTATTAACTTTATGTTCAGAAAAATTTAAATGAAGTTCTATCAGGAATATCAGAACTAAAAAATGTAACAGACAGAGTCCCTTTAAAAATAAGAATTATTGAATGTTTAATAAGATTTCTTTTTCTCTTCCAAAAAGATCTGAAACCTTAACATGCCATAGGTGATATGGTGTTGGATTTGGAGTCAGAAAAACATGGGTTTGAATCTCACATCTGACACTTATCAGCTGTCATTTTAGCTCTCTGAGCCTCAGTTTTTTTGTCTGTAAAATGGGGACAATAATAACAGTAGTACCTATATCACCTAGTTATTGTGAGGATCAAATGAGTCTGTGTAATGTACTCTGCAACTTTTAAAACACTATGTGTAAGTGTCAGTTATTATTATTATTTTATGTTGGTGAGATTCCCAAGACCATCAATCAGATCAGAGCACAGCAGGTCAACTTTTCCTGTGGTTAACTTTCTAAACTCTCTTGTAACTGGAAAAAAGATTTAGTTCCAATTGGAAAGGGAATTCACTTTCATTTCTCATTCTCTTATAATGACTTCTTTCCTTCTCTAATGAAAAGATACAGACTTGGAGGCAAAGGAAGTAGTAACTATGCTGCGGCTACAGTATGTTACTGCCATTAGGAAACAGGATTTATCCCTGGGGGACAAGAAGTTAGATGGATTTATTTCATTCAGAGCCACAGTTCTGGATCTGAAAACCACATTAAAAAGTCATACTCACTTCTTTGTACTTTCCCTTATGGTAAAGATGATTGACATTTCCGAGCAAAGTGTTCCGGTCAGCTTTCTGCAGCTGATAAATGCTGATCAGGGGCTCAAGGAGATTACTCTGGCTCTCACTAAGAACCCCAAATGCTCGAGCCTGCAACTTCTTCAGCTTCAAGCCAGACTAGGGAAATCAGATATATATAATTTCAACTTAATAGCATGTACTATGCTTATGAAAGCCTACCACTAGTCCAAGAGCCCTTAACCTGGGGGTGGGAACTTTAAAAAATACATTTTGATAAGTGTATTTCAATGTAATTGGTTTCCTTTGTAATCCTATATACTTTATTTTATGCATTTAAAGATAATATTCTGAGAAGAGGTCCATGGGCCTCACTAGAGTGCTGCGACTGTCACCACTTCCACCAGACAGTCCCCCTAGAGGGACCCAACACAAAGCATGGCAGACAGGGGCTCAGTTTCCAGGACACTGGATCACAAAATTTTAGGAACTGGAGAGGCCCTCTGAGACCATTTAATCCAAACCTGAGGTTTTATTGATGGATAAATGAGGCCCAGAGAGGTGAGGAATTTGTCCGAAATCACATAGTGAGTGTCAGAGCGCTCAGAAGCCAAAAATACTGAAAGACAAACACGAGCACAGAACTTCATAATTCAGGAGAACAAAATATGGACAGAGATGGCAATGGGTTCCATAACCAGAGGCTTGATAATATACATCCTGAAGGTGTCTCAGGTCAAGGCTACCTTAGTTTCTCCAGATCACAGAGGAACCAATCACTAGATTCAAACTGAGAGCACTGAGCAGTCTCCTTAGAGTCAATGAGGGAGAGCTAACAGTTTACAGGATCATAACCATTACAAGAAGCCATACAGATACAAAAGAGGGTTGTGGGACCCAGGAAAGATACGGGTTCAGAAAAGAGGAACATCTTTATCTCCAGTCTGGGCTTCTTGGCCCTAACCTGTGGATCCCTAGGGTGCTCCTTCAGCCAGCGAGCTAATTCGTTGGTGATGTAATATTCCAATGAGTGTCCTTTCCCCTTCCAGCCTTTATAACTCTCCAGCATGTCTAGAAGGCCTGAGAATGGGTCTTCCAGGGTAGCGAATCCTTGCCTGGCTACTTCCCGGAGCTGCAAAGACACAAAAACCACATTGTCAGGCATTCAAAGGGTTCTTGCAGCTCCCCTCCCCCACTCTCAACACAAAGGCTTTTTTTTTTTTTAATTTAATCTATTCAGAGAGGTAACTGTTGCTATTCAGCCACCATCCTCACCCCCACTGACTTTTCATACCACTAAAGATTCCTTTCTGGTCCACTGCACCCCAAGCCCAACAAGGAAAACAGCAATTGTCCACACTAATTATCCCATAAAGACAGAAAGGTTGTTCTGCAGGGCAGACAAAGGGGCTTGCTTTTTATCTAGAAGGTGGTGATGATGAAAGCAGACAGGTTTACAAGCTGCTTTATCTGCAGCCGCAACATACCTGTGCTGAGCAAGGAACATAAATAAAGCTCACTTTCTCTTTAAGTCTCCCTAGACCCAGACTTATCACATAATTGCTGCTGCCAAAAATAATCAACATAACACCTAGGAGCCGAAATTGGGGAAGGGGGGCAGAAAACAAATTAGAAGAGCAACACAAAGAGCACAGCAAAGCTGAACTTAAAAACAACATCTTTTAAAACCAACTTCTCTTTCATCAAAATGAAAGATGCAAGAAATGACTTCTGCTACATCAAGCAACAATGTGATTTTTTCACATTTTTCCACTTCAAATCATTAACAAGATAAGGGATTTAAAAACAACAATAACAACATCAGAATAAGAGAAAACACTGTTAAGCTGTGAAAGAAGGAAAACTTCATATTTAAAACTTTTAAGAGTTGGGATTTAAAGCACAGGGAGAAGACCAGAACATTTATATGGCAGGTTCTCTCTATCTAATATATGTGACCCCATGGCAATTATTTTAAAATGTTTACATTAGTGGGTGTTTCCAAGGAGTTTAGAAGAGCTGGCATGGCATTCTTTAATACCCACGCCATGCCCCTCATCTCCTGGTGAATGGATTGGGGGAAGTATGATGAAAGGATGAGAGAAGTCCCTACCAGTAGCCACTACCTTTCTTCTAGTTCAATTATAAACTCCAGAAGATGCTTCTTTTCTGCCTTTAACCAGTGTTCTTAATTTACTGTTTGTCAAATTCCCAAGGGTAAAACACCATTTTAAGTTAACCAAGAACAAAATGGAAGAAAAGGGAAAATGACTGTTTAAAGCATGGGCAATTATTTTCTGTATCCTTTCTAACAGGTCTGCAAATTGATGCTTCTATTTAGAAAAATGACAATATACCAGCTCTATTACTATTTTCAACCATTTAAAGTTTTACTAATATCCAAGGTAAGAGGGCTTTTTTTTTTTTCCTCAGCAGATAGGATCCTTTCTAGCTCAGTAATTTCTATACCAAAGTAAAATGATTCAGGAGCCCCAGGGCTCCTTCTTTTTAACCACTGGACCTGTACTAAAATTCAGTCATTTCCCCACTGCCACACCCTGAACTCCATACACATTTTACCACCAAGAAAGAAGAGAATGTGTAAGGAGCTGTCTGTCATATTTTGTAGCTAGAGGGTACAGTGGATAGAATGCAGGGCCTGGAGTCAGGAAGACTTATCTCCCTGAGCTCAAATCTGGCCTCAGACACTTACTAGCTATGTCACCCTGGGCAAGTCACTTCACTATATCTGCCTCAGTTCCTCATCTATAGAATAAGCTGGAGAAGGAAATGGCAAACCACTCCAGTATCTTTGCCAAGAAAACCCCAAATGAGGTCACAAAAAGCTGGACACGACTGAAACAAGTCATAACTTCCTGTGCTTAGCACATATACCTTCCCTGACCCAGAGGAAGATACAGGAAGTTATGTGACATTTTCCAAAGCTCCTTAGGACCAGCATACGCCCTGATTTCTCCAAAGTGATCCAGATTTCAAAGGCCAATGCCATGGGATTCTATAGGAACATTTTAGCTTCTGAACAATGAAAGGGGAACCATGCTGGAAAGGCACTGAAATTTTACTAAAATCCCCTATTTTTGTCCTCATCTCCTCTGGGAGCAGCTGCTTAATGCTTTAAAAATTATGGATCTGGTGAGCTATATTCTCATTTTCTGCTTTTGAAAAAATGTATTTCTTCAACACACTAGCTCGTGCTACCTGCAAGGACAGCTCTGTGACTGAGTCTGAGAAGGAAAAGAAGCATGGCTGGAGGCAGCAATGAGTAATGGTAGATAGACAGTAATCTATCAGTTCATATGTCGATAATGTTTTTCCTCTAAGAGTCTCTCTCTAATCACAGAAATCTCTAGAGGGATTGCCTAGGACTTCTAATTCACAAATCTCCAGCAGCATCCTGCGATATGGGTTTTAACACAATATGTTTCCAATATTCACTGTCTTTAGATGAAAGCTCTACAGTAAAAGAGAGAAATATTCTGCAGAGACCTTGAAGTCATGTGCATTCAAGTAATAAGCCCAAGCTCCAGAAACTGAGTCAATTAGTCAGAAAGATCCTTTTAAGTTTTGGCTCTTCCCTGGGGCCTCCCATTCCCTTTCCATCAGAAAGCCTCTAGCTCCACACAAAATAATAGCGCTCAGAGAGTGATCTGGAGATCTAGCCCAAGGCTAAGGTCTTCCTCAGAATCATCTAATTGCTCTAACCCTCTATTATACAATCACGGAATCATTTTGGGTTTTTTTGTTTGTTTTGGGTTTTTTGCTTATTTTTTGCTTATTATTGTCCTAACTTACAAAGAAAATCACTTTCCTACTGTCACGGCATGACTGAGTGAGAAGTAAACCATCTTTCCTCAGACCCAGTGCTCCTACAACCAAGAGGCTCTACTACTACCTCAATAGGTCTGAATCATCCTTTTCAATTCTCCAAGAAATCCAGTATGGAAAGTAAGGAAGATGTTTCTATATGGTACTGGATAAGATTTTGTTTAAAGTGTACCTATAAAGCGATATGTCTGGTATTTAACAGCCACATTAAGGAGATCACAGAGTCTTAAAGCTATGGGCGTGGTCCCCTTGGACGGACATAGATTAAAGCTGACAGTATTCCAAACATTCGTCTCCAGTATTCCTGGGGCAAGGGTATATCAGGGAGAGGAACTAGAGAGAGTGTGTAATGTACTAATTGTGACAATGTGAGTGTCATAAAATGGTTACCTACAGCATATTCTTTTGAATATACTCTGAGGTTATAAATCTTCATATTTTACAAGCATATCTGATTTCTAGAAATAGTTGTAAGTCATTCTGAGCCAAATCTGATGAAAATATAAGTAATCAAACTGGGTATTAACTGTAACTCAAAACGAGCTGCAACTACATAGTTATAAGACATTTTAGTGGGTGGTTTGCAAATTGGCTTTGAAAGCAATTCCAAAAATGATTTGATTGACTCATTTATTCAACAAATATTTAGAAAATGCCCATTATGTATGTACCAAGCTTTACCAGACACATCAGTATCACTTGAGTAAGTACAACCTTCCCAGATAACTACCATCATGCTCACTCCTCTGTGCCCTTGCAGCATTACTCCCATGGCAGTCACAGTCAACTAACATTTATTACAAGCCTACTATGTGCCACACATTGTGCTAAGTGCTGGGTTTACAAAGAAAGTCAAATAATTTTTTCTACATTTCATCATGCCATTTTTGCACTTATTTTTCCTACCAAATTATACAGCCCTTGAGAGCAGAGTTTGTATCTTATTTCATTTTTGTATCACTCAGCACCCCACACTGGATACACAGCAGAAACCTAGTCAATCTTTGTTTAAATGAAACAACAAAGTCATTTGGATGTATAAATTTTAGTATATTTTAAAATATGAGTCACTAGTCACACCTTTTACATATACATTATTTCCCTTTTTCTTATATAAATTCCTATAGACATTTTAAATTTATTAGTTTTTAAGATATCTCTCAGTTTACTCCTTCATCTAGATTAAAATCTACAGTATGATTACACATACTTTTTTATGCTACTTAGAGGGACCAGACATTAGTCCTATGGGGGAGGGGAGGTTCTTTGATATCTTATACTCTATTTCTCATTCCTTGGAGCTGAGGTTGGCCTTTCTTCAAAGCCAGAGGAACAAAGGACTATGGGTGCAGAGATGGGCAGCTAAAATAAGATAAAGGACTCCTTCTGCCTCTTTTTCATATTGATAAACCTTCCCCCAATCCAACCATGTCATTATACTGGACTAAGCCCTGAGAATCTTTTTCTTGTGTTCTTAATCATTATTAAGATTTGCATCCAGACATCATGCCACACAAACTAGATGAACATAGTGACTAAAGGACAAGGACCTTTATGAAGAGAAGACCTTAAAATCAGGAAACCTGCTATATATTTTACTAGGAAAAAATGTTGTCTCAAGCTTCCAGGTTCAGGAATGATATTTCTTTTTTTCTTTTTTTAAAGTTGTATCAAAAGCTTAACACTGAACATTAAATAAATGTGCTTAGTATCAATTTATACCTGAATTAATGTCAGTGCATAAAATATTACAGCAACTCTTTAGTCACTCCCTCTAAGGACTTTTTTTGTCCATTCTCATTAGGAGCTATATTTCTACACAATTTAGCACAAGTTACAAATCCATCTATTTCTTTTATTTTTTAAGGGGGTGGGGGACATGGGACTAGGACCTGAGATTCCAGGATGTCATTGGCATAGGACAACAGTCTCCAAAGGTTTTTGACTGGGCACTGCAGAAAAAAAATCTGGATATAAAGCTTCAATGCCTATATTTACTTATTCATAAATTATACATATATTATTGCACTAATATGAAAATAACTAACATTATAATATATGTACATAATTGTTATATTATACAACTTATACAAAAACAGAATGTTAAAATGGATGAGATAAAGATGAAGTAATATTTGATATTAGGGTTGATTGGGAGCCACTAAAATTTATCACATAGGATAATGACATAGTTGGACTTTAGCTTTAGGGAAATCACTCTAGCAGCTATAAAAAGGATGGAGTGGAGAGGAGACAGACTTGAGGCAGGGAAACCAATTAAAAAGCTATGGCAATGATTCAAGAGAGAGGTGGTAAGGCTCTGGAAAGGGTAGGGACTGATACAAGAGATATTGTGGAGGAGAAAAACAAAATTGGTCAAATGAATGGATATATAGAGTAAGGGAGAATGCAGAGCAAAAGATGACACAGACATGGCCCACCCGAGTGACTAGAAGGGTTTGGGGCCCTCAAAAGTAATAGAGAAGTACAGAAGAAGGTAGGTTTGTCAGAAACCATTGAATTTGCTTTGGAGGTGTTTTGACTTTCCTTGCTATGCTGCCCATGTTATAGCCAGCATCCTTGTCTCCAATATCTCCTTCTAATTCTAACTCAAACTTCCCTCCCCTTCTTCACCTGGCTCCCCAACCCTAAACTCCATTCTCCTCACTCTGACAGGTGAGCTTTTATCTTATCTTGCTGGTAACCAAGCCTACAAACCATTTCCTGGCCATCTCAATGTCCACGTACTCCAATTTCTGATGTTACTTTCCCCCATTAGAATATAGGTTCCTTGAGGACAGTAACTGGGTTACTTGCTTGTATTTGTATTCCTGGCACTTAATACAGTGCCTGATACTCAATAAGAATTCAATACTTAATAAATGCACTTCTCTCTTTGTCTCATAACATCTCATCCATGCCTGCTCATACTGTGCAATTCACTCTGTCCCACCTCAAATGAAAAGGGGGAAGAGGCCTCCTACTCCCTAGTCATCTTTTGAGGAGGAAGCATGCCAGAGCCAGGAATTATCTGGGAGGCAAAGAATGGGTGTGGAGTGGGGAGAGGAAGGAATTTTCCCCAAAAACTTAGACAGCTCCTGCTTGCATGTCTGAGAGGCCTACTCCTGTCTCAGAAGGGGGGAAGCTGGAGCTTGCATCGATGAAGGAAGGTGCAAAATAGAATATCAGGGAATACAGGCACCTACAGTTGTGTTGGAGATGAGCCTCATGAACGGCTATCTTGAGGAGGATGTACTGCAGCCAGTGGGGTCTATCATTTCTAGTCACTTCATAACTCTAATTTAGAGACTCCTGGCTCAGGGAATTTCAGATAAGGAAATTTCCTTTACCGATGAAGATCAGCTCGAGCTCAGCAACTTGCAGTCTTAGAAGGTTGCCTGGAGTCAATGACACAGCCACAGGACTCTGAACTGGGTCTCTCAGACTTTGCAGGCCAGCTCTCTTTCCACCACAGGGCTGCTTCCTTTCATTTCTAAGTAATGGCATTTTGACTAGGTTGCAAATGCTTACAGAATCTGCAACTCAAGATTTTCTTTATAGGTGATTTATGTCTCTCTAGAGTGTTGAACTCTTACAAGGATGTTTTCCATTATTTTCCTCAAAGTCTCTTGATTACTGTTCCATTCCTCCCATTTCCTCACCTTCTCTTGGTTTTAAATATATTATTATCTGGAGGAAAGGAAAGATAATAGTGAATCAATTATACTTCCAAAATTGTGAAAAAATAAAGAGCATGTGACTTTGGGTTTGCCCTATGCTCCTTAAGTCTCCAGATGATGGTTTTTAGTTACTTGTGAGCACAGAAACAGAGCTCCTGATCAGCACTTCCTAAACCACTAAATCTAACAAAGACCAGCACGCCAGTGGGCCAGGGAGGGAGGCACAGAGACCTTCAAGCAATGGTTATCAAGGAGCTTCATGGCATTGGCTTTTCAAGGCTTGCATTTTGAAGTTAATTTCCTGTCAGAGTAAATATAAAATTAAATACACAGCCTCCTCAACTTTCCTGAAAACTTTCAACAACCCACTGCTCCCAAACCTCTGCAAATCTGAGGTCCCAAAACTACCTTCAAAAACGATCTCACATCTCAACTACTCCAGGAAACTTTTTATGATTAACTTTACCTCCTAACCATCTCAGCATGTTGGTACTTAAGTTGTATTGTTTTGTACTTGTTGAGATGACGTTTTAAATTTTTCTTAAATTATCTGGATAAGTGTTGAGGATGCACTCAAGACTCCTAAGAGCTCCAGGTGAAAATGGCAGAAGTTCTAAGTGGTATCTCAGGCTGAGCCAGCTTTGACAGCTGTATCAGAAACGATCACCATTCTAGACTAATGATCACTATATTCAGGGGCACAGTTGATAATATCTGAAGTCCTGGTATGCTGTGTGAAAAATACAGAACCATACACACATACTCACGTGGTCAGTAGGAGGAGAAGGGCTACAGTAATAGCCACAAAGGTAGAGGGAGATGGATAGCAGCTGGAGGCATTGATTATGGAGTTAACTGCATTTAGTTGGGAGCTTAAATCACATGGGTTTTGAGGGTAGTTCCTGGTCCTTTTGTTCCAGTTTGATGGTGAAGAGGTTATAGAGAGGAGGGAAATGTATGCATCTATATATGCCTTTTCCCTTCCAAAACCCAGGATAGGTGAAGGGCTTTGCAAACCACAAATACTGGTTATTATTATTAATATTATTATTTTATAGGCCTGATATAGGCCACTAAACTACAAACATGAAAGGCTGGGTTGTTGCTTTAAAAGAACCTGAGGCCTACAATCTCCAAAAGCAGGCATCATCCCAAGAAAAGGAACACTTTCTGCCATGGAACTAGCATGCCGAAAAAAACTAATTGTAGCTTGTCTATTTTTCAAAACTGATTTACAAGACAGAGCTAAACAGAGACTGGACTAAGAGAAATAGTGGTCCCAGCTTTGGGAAGATGGACACTATCCATCTGTTACTTCTCTGTTTCTAAAGAAAATTAAGATAATCATCCTTGTTCCTGAGCTACTGCACTAGAGTGTTGTGAAGGTTAATGAGAGTAAAGTACTTTGACCTCTACCAAAGGTGCTATTTAAGGACAAAGAATTACAACATGCTTCATGGATCCCAAATTGGTTCACTCTGGTTTTGTGCTGAGGAAAAAAAAAAGAGCTGAAATTTTAGGCTTCCAGGCCCTTTGCCGTAGTGTTGAGGAATTCTCTCCTTTGTGCCCTAGGTCTGCTGAGAAGCAGACAGACCTGCCTCCTCCCCCAGCCTGCCAATCGGCAGGGCTTTCCCCCTGCGTAATGTAACCAAACACAATCACAGCCCTGACAGCCCTGCACTGGGCCGGACATGCTCTGCATACAGCGAGGAGCTCCATTGTGCAGGGGGCAGGCTCCAAGAAAGGGACTTACCTTCTGCAGCTCTCTCTTTGTCCACAGAGTTTGAAGGGTTTTCAGTAACAGGAGTGGGTCCTGGCCTAGGGACAGGGGATGGGAGAAGAAAGAAGGGGGATTGAGGGAGAGAAAAAAACAAAACAAAACAAAACAGATTTATTGCTTCTGTACAGGCAGCCTAGACACACTGGAGCATTGTTCTAGTGGAGAAAAATGGGGCATTCCAGGCCACTCTTTTGGAAACCATTAACCTCCTAACTGTCAGTCAGGATTACAGCGTCAAAAACCTCCCTCTGGAACCCAAACAATCGAACAACAGACATCACTCCTGCAATGCTTTAACAAGGGCAAGAGGGAAGATTCATATTTATTTCTTCAGACAAAAAACTCTCAATGGTATATTTACAACCAAAGTATTTTTATCACTACAAATCAGTGGTCTGATGTGTGTCTCCCCTTTCAACCAAGCTCTAGAACTTTTGAGATTCAAAACTTAATGGACCTCCGTTATTAACTACAGCATAACCACCTAAACTAAAGCTAAGCTTTTGACCTTTTTTTTTTTTTATCATTTCTAAGCAAGAGAGACATTCATATACAAAGTCATGGAAATCAGCCCATGCCCCAGAATTCCAGGAGGGCAAATGAGGACTAGGTTTAAGTCATGGACAAAGAGTACACACTCAATGATACATGTTCATAATAAGGATTCGGCTTATTGGCTTATTCTGACATTTCAACCTGATGGTATAACACATAGCTATGAAAATTTCCAAGTTTTGGACTGTGTCAATATATGGAAAGATGCCTGCAAAATGTTAAATGAAAAAGGCTGAACAGAAAATATGTGCAGTAATTACAGTTAGGGACAATTAGGTGGTACAGTGGATAAAGTGCTGAGCCTGGAGTCAAAAGACTCATCTTCCTGAGTTCAAATCTGGCCTCAGACATTTACTAGCTGTGTGACCTTGGGCAGGTGACTTAACTGTTTGCCTCAGTTTCTTCATCTGTAAAATGAGCTGGAGAAGAAAATGGCAAACCATTCCAGTATCTCTGCTAAGAAAACCCCAAATTGGGTCACAAAGAGTCAGACTCGACTGGAAAACGATTGAACAACAAATTACAACCAAGCAAAAATGTGTGAACACATTTACAAAGATTGGAATAGAATCTGGAGAGAAGTAAATAATTTAATGTTCATTAGCTTTATTTTTTTTGTATAAGTTGTTCATTCATGAGTTTTCTCAAATAATAATAACTGTTCTACCTACTTAATAGAGTTAGTTCTTGTAAGGATGAAGGGAAATAAGTTATGAACCTAAAATACTTTTTATTTATAAACATGAGCCAATATGCTTTGAGAAGAAGCAAGAGAGCAACGGATTCAATACCAAGAAAACCTGGATTTAAATCCCACTTCTAACACGTACTGACATCTGACCATAGGCAAGTCATTTAACTCAATTCTCATTTTCCTCATTTGTAAAATCAGAATAATAATACCTGTAACATCCAACAACTACAACAACAATAATAAGATTTTTATAGCACTTAAAGGTTTACAAAACACTTTATAAATATCTAATTTTATCTTCATAACAATTCTGGGATATAGATGCTATCATTATCTCCATTTTATGGATAAGGAAACTGAGGAAGGCAGAAGTGAAATGATTTGCCCAGGGTCACATAGCTAGAAAATGTCTGAAGCTGGATATGGACTTTATGACTTCAGATCCAATACTCTATCCACTGTGCCAATCCTAACTCATTAAGTTGGTGTATATGACTAAAATGAAATAATATATGTAAAGTGCTTTGCAAAACTTAAACCACTATGTTAATGTCAGCTATTATGATTATGGTGCTTGGTTACTTGATTAATACATGTGTGTAACTGTGGTATTGTGCAAGTTACTTAATTTCTCTGTGTCTCAATTTCCTCATTTGTAAAATAAGGATAATAATACTCCATATGAGGAAATTGCTTTGTAAAACTTAAAACACTATATAAATATTAAGCAATAAATATGTTTATATTGTGACTTAATAATATGAATACTTTGAGATATCAATGCTTAATATTTCATCCACAATAACAGAAGTTCCTCTAAAACAGGGATCATATTATGTACTTGTTTTGTATCCTACACAGTACCAAACCTGGTGGTAGGCACAAAAGAAATAATTATGGTATTGCATGGTAGTGGAAAGAATTCTGGACTCATAGTCTGGATATGTGGGGTGAAGGACAGTGAGGAGTCAAAGATAAAGCTGATGTTTTAAACATGGGAGATTGGAAGGAAGGTAGTACCTTTTATAAACTTAGAGAAGTTAGAAGAAAAGAGGGATTGTGGGAAAAGATAATGATTTTGGTTTTGGAAAAGTTGAATTTGGGATGGCTTCAGGACATTGAGTTTGAAATGTCAGGACAGAAGCTCTGGGGAGAGAATGGGGCTAAATATAATAATCTTTAAGTCATCTCAGTGGAGATGGTAGGTAACCCATGGGAGCTAATGAGACTACTTGGAGGAGTAGGAGGCCTAGGACAGAACCTAAGGAACACCCACAGTTTAAAGGGCATCATATGAATGATGAGACAGCAAAAGAGACTGAGAAGAAAATTTCAGATGGAAAAAGTAGTGTCACAAAATTTGTGAAGGAGAGAGAATCCATGAGGAAAGGTGGTATATAGTGTCAAATGGAGTAGACAGACTGGGAAGGATAAGGATTCAGAAAAGACCATCACATTTTAGCAATTAAGAGATCAATGTACCTTTGGAGATAGCATTTTCTGTTGAATGATGAAGCTGGAAGCTAGACTGAGGTACAAATGAGAGACACAGAGGCAGAGGGTGTAAACGGCTTTTTTTTTTTTTTTTTTGAGGAGTTTGGTTAAGAAAAGGAGAGATATAGGATGATATCTTTTTTTAAATTATGTATTTGGTATTTTATTTTTCCACTGTTACCCAGAAGCAGAGTTCTTGGGTAAGGAATAATTCATTTTTGTTCAATTGTTTTAGTCATGTCTGACTTTTCATGACCCCACTTTGGGTTTTCTTGACAAAGATACCAGAGTGGTTTGCTATTTCCTTCTCCAGCTCATCTTATAGATGAATAAATTAAGGCAAACAGGGATAAGTGTCACACAGCTAGTAAGTGTCTGAGGGCAGGTTTGAACTCAGGAAGATGAATCTTCCTGACTCCAGGCCAATCACTGTATACACTGCACCACCTAGCTGCCCCCAAGGAATAGTTACAGGTCCTTAATTGTGTACCAGAGAGGAGTAAGTTCAGAAACAAATTGAAGCCTTGTGCTCAGACACCAGAAACAAAGCAAGGTCTCAGTTCCATATTCTAACCCAGTCTACAGCCTTCAAATGAATAACCAGGGCAGGAATCACAAATCAAGCAGAATTTTTCAGTTCTATGACTCTGAACCAGCTGTTGCTCAGACCCAAGTCCAGGTCAGGAACTTACAGAGCTCAGACTTTGCCCTGGATCAGACCACTTTGGGAGCATTGATGACTTCCAGATCCATAGTGTGAGCTGTCCCTAAGAAAATGGAATAACACAATACTCAACATCCTAAAAAGCAGCAGCAGGACCAGACCTGACCTTCCCATTCAGAACTGTTATGGTCTTAACACTTAAGTCTGACCTTAACAGCAAGTTCGAACTCAGAAAGTCAAATGGAAAAATGACCAAACAAAAACAGAAGCCAACCATAAAAAACTATTATGGTGACAGGTATGTTCAAAACACAAATCCAAGAGAAGAGAATGACTCCAAAATATCTACAATCCATGCCTGAGAGAAAACAAAGCTTGAGAATAAAGTAAACTAGAATCCCAGAAAGAGCTGAAGTACAACATTTAAAAAGAGTTCAAAATGTTTTTGATAAATGAAATAAGAGTATTGGAGCAACTAATTGGAAAAGATATGAGAGCTACAGAAGTAAGAATTGGAAAGGTAACTAACTGCTTAACACAAGAGGTACAAAACCTCGCCTGACAAAAAACTCCTTGAACATTAGAATGAACTAAATAGAAGCTAATGACTCCATGAGACAACAAGAAATATTAAGAAAGAAGAAAATGAAAGACATCTTCTAGCAAAAATAACTGACCTGGAAAACATATTGAGGAGAAAAAAAATTTAGGAATCAATGAACTACCTGAAAATTAAGACCAAAAAAAAAGAGTATAGGCATCATATTTCAAGAAATCTTAAGAGAAAATTGCCCAGATCTCTTAGAACCAAAGAGAAAACTGGAAATAGAATCTACTGGCCACCTCCTGAGAGAAACTCCCAAATGAAAACTCTCAGTAATATTATAAGCAAAATCTGGATCTTCCAAGTCAAAGAAAAAATATTACAAGCAACTAGAGAGAAAGAATTCAAGTACCAGGGAACCTCTGTCAGGATCACATATAATTTAGCAGCCACCACTACAAAGGTAAAGAGAGTTGGGAAGATCATATTTCAGAAAGCAAAGGATATGGGCTTACAGCCAAGAATTACTTACTCAGCAAACTGAGTATAATGCTCCAAGGGGAAAACTGGATCTTTGACAAAATGGAGGACTTCCAAGCATACCTGATGAAAAGACCAGAGTTGTGTAGAAACTCTGCAGTTAAAACAGGTGTGAAGAGAAACATAGAAAGGCAAAACCAAACAATGATGAACATGCATAGGCAAACAAAAAAATTCCCACACTGATCATGTCCAAAACAATATATCTCATTTTGTACTCTGAGCCCTCTCAATCAGGAAGTAGGTAGAACATTTCATTATTTCGTCTTTAGAATTTGGCTGGTCATTATGCTAATCAGAGTCTCTAATTCTTTCAAAGTTCTTCGTCTTTACCACACTGTTGTCATTACATAAATTGTTCTCCTGGTTCTGTTCACTTCATTCTACATCAATTCATATGTCTTTTTTTTTTTAAACCATCTCCTTCATTATTTCTTACAGCACAATAATATTCAATCTCATATGTGTGTATAGGATACACATAAACATACACACACACACACACACCCATAACTTGTTCAGCTATTCCCCAATTTATGGGCACAGC